AATTCTCAGGAGAATTTTCTGACTGACATTGGGCACAGGCACAGAGTTCAAGTGTGTGATGCACAGAGACCATGAAGACAACACAGAAGTTCCAACAAGCCTTTGAATTAGACAATACAGACATGTTTCATCAGATATACATGCTACAACCTGACAGGAATTCTCTTTTTGAGAGGCACTGCATGCAGCATAATCTATGAGTTATGGAAATTTTGAAAGGGCATAACTGAACCAAGCTTTCGGCTCAGGAGCAAAAAAAGGTGCAAAGTTGGATATGTGATACTCCATTTAAACCAATAAACCTTGTATGGTTATCAGCAAGGCTTTGGAAAACAGAAAAGCCATGCTGGACCAGACTAATGGCCCATCCAGTCCAGCACTCCATTTACATGGTGGCAAACTAGCTGCCCACAGGATCCCTCAAGCAGGATGGGTACCTTTGCCTGCCCAAGCTCTTCAGCATCTGGTATATATAGGCATGCCGTTTCTGGAGGCAATACAGTGCCAACCAGGCTAATAGCCTGCTCCTCAATGAATGTGTCCAATCCCTTTTTAAAGCCATCCAAATTAGTGGTCATCACTCCTTCCTGTTACACCAAATTTCATTAACTATGCACTGTACTTCATACTATCAGTCCTGAATCTCCCACCAATCAGCAACATGAGTGACTCCAGGTTCCAGTAATATGTTAGAGGGAGTCTCTCTCTCCACACCATGCATAATTTTAAATACCTCTATCATGTCCCTCCTTACCTTTTTTAAAGCTAAACAATCTCAGTTTTTGTAACTCTTCCTCCTAAGGGAGTTACTCCAGCCCCTTGATCGTTTTCATTGCCCTTCTCTGCATTTGTTCAACTCATAATGTCCTTTTTCAGGTAAGGCGTTCAAAACTATACACAATATTCTAAGCATGACCACACCAAAGATTTGTTTAAGTGCAGCACAAACTTGGCAGTTCTATTTTTGATTCCTTTCCTAATGACGCCTAACCTGGAATTTGCTGTTTCCACAGCAGCTGCATATTTGCTAACATTTTCATCAAGCTGTCCACCACAATCCCAAGATCCCTTTCTTGACTGGTCATTGTTAGCTCAGATCCCATCAGTTGTAAATCAGAAGTTGTTGCCCCAGTATTCATTACTTTACACTTGCTTACACTGAACTGCATTTGCTATTTTGGTGTCCATTCTCCTAGCCTAGAAAGATCCCTTTGGATCTTTTCACAATCCCTTTTGGTTTTAACCACCCTAAGTTTGGTGTCATCAAGAAACTTGGCCATTTCACTGCTTACTTCGAATTCCAGGCCATTTATGAATAAGTTGAAAAGCACTGGTCCTAATACAGAACCCTGTGGGACCCCATCTTTTCTTCCTTCCACTGGGAGAAATTACCATTTTCCCCCAGTCTCTACTTTCTGATCTTTAACATGTTGATGATCCATAAGAGACCTTCCCCTTTATTCCCTGACTGCTAAATTTGCACAAGAACTTTGGTTAGGGAGTATGTCAAAAGCCTTTGGAAATCCAAGTGAACCAGATCACCCCATCTGTAGGCTTACTGATACTCTCAAAGTGTTCTAAGATAGTGAGATAGAATCAACATAGTTTCTGCAAAAGTAAGTCCTTTTTCAGCAGGGCTTGTCCCTCTATGTGTTTACAGATCCTATCTTTAATACCTCTTTCAACCAATTTACCCAGAAGGGATGTTACGCTAACTGACCTGTAATTCCTGGATCCCTGCAGATCCCTTTTTATAAATTGGTGTTACACTGGCCAATCGCCAATCCTCTGGTAAAGAGGCTAAATTGAGGGATATAGGACATTTTTTAAAAGTCAGTAATGTCTTATTTGAGCTTTTTAAGAACTCAATTAAACCATCTGGGCCTGGTGATTTATTAACCTCCAGTTTGTGAATAAGGTTGAGAAAATCATCTTGTGTCACGACTGACTTAATTCCTTCAACTCCCTTTCTGAATGCATCCAATTCAGGAACAGATAGTGTTCTGTATCACTAGCTATGAGGACAGATGAAAAGAATTCATTCAATTTCTCTGCAATCCCTTTATCCCTCTTTAGTGCTTCTTTAATTCCATTATCATGTCCTGGGCAATGCCATCTAAGATTAAATCCAGTTTTGCCTCCCTTCTGGTTGGTTCCATGACCAACTCTTCGAGGACACAGTCATTTAGGATATTGAGAATTTAACCCCTCTGTCAGAACTGGAGCATACATTTGTCTAGTCAATGTGTGAGTAGTGGAAGACATCCATTACTACACTGCTTTTGTTTGAAGTCACTGCCTTTATTTGAAGCTTGCCTGAGTTTATTCTCCATCTCAAGGTCATCCTGAGCATTCTGGTCTTGAAGATAATACTGTTCCTATGACTAAATTAGTTTTAGAGCCAGTTACTGCCACCCACAATGCTTCTGTTGAGGAGTCTGAACATTTTAGATCATCATGTCTGCCCTCTTTAATATACAGAGCAAGAACTCCTTCAATGTACCCTTCCTAGTCCTTCCTATACGGTTTATGCCCAGAGATGACTGTATCCCGTTGGTTCTCCATTCTACTAGGTTTCTATAATACCCACTACATCTAGGGTCTTTTTTAAAACCAGACACTCCAGCTCTCCTAATCTGGCTCTGAAGTTTCTAGCATTTGCATAGAAACACCTACACATAGCTTCCTTCCCATATATGTAAAACTTGTATTTTGGCACTTAGGCCTCTCCAACTGGTTATCATATCTTGCTATAAACTAGTGGCTTATTTCCTCCCTACTTTTTCTTCTTCATCCCCTAGGAATAATTTAATCCAAACCAGATGATTCTCAGCTCCTGTAGGCTTTCCCCTAGGGTTAAGTTTAAAAGCTGTTCTGCCACCATTTATGTTATATTGGAAGGCTGAGCTCCTTTGTTTGCGATATAAATCTATGTGATAACTTGGACTCTCAAACTCTGGATTGCTTTATTTCTGAGCTTTAGTTTGTGAGCTTCTCTATAGGCCTAAAACCTGAGCCTATACTGGGCCCAAGCTGGGAAGATAAACAGTTACTGAATCCAAGGGTTTCAAGAGGCATTAACCTGGACCAGTTAAGTTCATACACATGAAAGCACATCTGGCAGATATTGGTATAAATACAGAAGATTCTGAAAAAGAAAACTGAAGGTTTCGCTGCTATACAACATGTTTTATTTCAAAACCACATATTTTATTTTTAAAATGTATGCAGTTTTTCCTTTTCTTCTACATAAAAATTATGTATATTTTCCCACATGCATACAGCTTTGCTATCTAGTTATTTTTGAAATCTATCAATTTTCTCCCATTGATTAAAGTGTAAATGCACATTTTAATGTTTATTTTTCAAATGTATGCATGTTGTTGAATATATATTTTTAGGCTTCAAACCACATTTTGCAGGCTTAGAAATATGCAGACTTTGACTACAGATCGCATCTAGGTGCTTGGTCCAAAATATGGGAACTGAGCAAATCCTGATCAAAAATGAACTAGAACACATTTCTCATACATCTCTAGCTTGAACATACATAGTCATGTGAAATACCTCTTGATATAGGAAACCTTTCAAGTGCTGCCCTTGAAAAGACAATTGTTGAACCTGGTTTGCCCAACACATTCCATTAATAAATTCTTCAGAATTTGCATGAGTCACCTCTCAATTTTGAACATTTTAATGCTGCCTCTATGCAGTACTGCCTGTCCAGCACATGTATAGCTACAAGCAGCTATGGTTGAAAAGGCATAGGCAAACACTTCAAATGTAACTTTGTACAGCACTTGATGTGTGGTCTTAATCCACTGTGAAATTGCCCTTTAGAATGGAAGCAGAATGCCTTCTGGGTTCAGCAGCAAGGTTAAACAAACCCTTCTCCTTTCTGCTTCATGCAGGCTTCTGTGGCAGCATTTCAGTTTTTAACAAGCAAAATGCAAATAAATAAATAAACAGTACCAAACATCAGGGAGATCTGACTAATGTTCCAGTATCTGTACTAGTTTGTCCCTCACTGAAGTAAATAAAGCCCTAAATGGCTTGGGACCAGGATACCTAAAGGAACGCCTTTTTCCCTATTTGCCCTCCTGCTCCCTGAGATGGGCAACAGAAGCCCTCCTCCGGGTACCCTCTGTGAAAGTTGTTAGGAGACAGAGTACCCGGAGGAGGGCCTTCTCTGCAGTGGTGCCCCGACTATGGAATGCACTCCCCAGAGAGGTTCGCCTGGCACAGTCATTATATGTTTTTCAGCGCCAGGTCAAGACCTTTTTATTTAATCAATATTTTAATATGTATCAATAGCAACTGGATTTTATTGTTTGTATTTTATTAACTACAGCCACCATGGAATAGTTAATTAATTAATTTTATTTTGATTTATGTTGTAAGCCGTCCAGAGATGCAAGTAATGGATGGCATACAAATTTTATAAATAAATAAATCTGCATATATTCCGAGACTGCAACCGGTTTGGCTTTGGCAATTGTATTTAAAACATTTTATTTATTAGATTTATACCACCTTTTTCTTACAAAGAACTCATAGCAGCTTACATCATTCTTCTCCTGCTCTCCATCTTATCCCCACAACTTCCTTGTGAGGAAGGTTGGACTGGGAGCTTGTGACTGGCCTTAAGTCACCCACTTGGCTCCATGGCTTAGCAGGGACTAGAACCCAGATTGCCTGAGTCCCAGTTGTGCATACTTAACACTATACCACACTGGCTCTTCACATGTTATCGTAACACGCTCTGCTGCTCAGACGGATATCCGAGCTTGTTCATATTTTATCTATAGGAAAAACACTGATCACACTTTAGCAAAAAGAGCACAAGTCTTGCACAGTTATACTAAACAATATCTCTGTTTAGAACATGCATTGCAAGAAATGAACAAATAAAACCATATATTTAGGAAGAAGTGAATACAGCAGCTTTTTTGAAAAAGAAAGGAAAAGCCCACTGTTTTGAACCACGGCAGAAGGCTCACCTTTATAATCTTTTCCACGCCGGAGGAGCAGATCATGTAGGTGTGAGGATTAAACCGAACCTGGTTCACAATGGAACGATGTCCTTTCAAGACCATAAAGGCACCATTAACCACCCTGCCAATTCCACCTGTCAAAACAAAAGAACAAAAGAACTGAACTATATTTTATGGACTGGCTTGATTGCACTGACAATGGAATAATATGTACAAAAGCAATTACAGCAATACAAATAATAAATTCAACATACATGGACACTGTACCTCCATTATGAACTCAAATCCCTTCCTTCTCTCAGCAATCAGAAATGACTAGGTTTGTATTGGCTCACTTTCCAAGTCTCATTTAGTGGCTTTGCATGGTCAGCTAGAAATAGTACTTTTTCTTTTTTTTTGCAAAGCCCCCTTTGCAATCCCTGCTTCTTTTCCTGTTGCTACACCTGGTGAATTTGCAGTGGTGATCTTTGCAGTAATATTATACTTTTATGGCTTCAGCCCCAAAAAGTTATCCTACATAGTACCAAACCACTCTTTAGTTTTTTTCCTAATTATATTCACATATTTTAACATTGTATCTGTGCATAAAGTTAAGTTCAAACTTCTCAATTACATGACAGTCAGTGTTCAATTTAAATAGAACAAAGAATTAAGTCCTATTCAGGTGTTCCGATTTCCTGTGTCGTAAGTGTATGAGGAGGAGGGAGTGCGCCAGTCTTGCCCTCTATCACTTTTTCCATCACCAGCTACACATGGAGGATGATTTTCTGAAAGGGAAAGCCCTGCATTGATTAATCAGGGTTCCAAATCATCACCCCTTTGGAAAGTAACCCCCTGCATACAGGGATAACAGAGGGATGCTACCTCTCTTTGCCCCTTTATTATACACAGAATCAGAAGGCCTGAATAGAACTTCACTGAAACATAGTATCTAACAAATCAAATCTTAAGTAAACTTCTTAAGAATCTCATGCAAGTCTTCCAAGACTGTGAACAAGGAAAGTTTCTAGTGATGATCTTTAAAAATAGAAACAAAGAATATGGAAACAGTCTAACCTGTTCCTCCCACAACGACCCAGACATAACAAAGCTGGCTAGGGAGATCATGTCACACTTTACAAATGACAGTCCCATTTGAATGTCTATCTGATCCTAGTCCAACTGAAAGTTAAAGATCCAAAAGAAGGAAGAGTGGAGGCCCTGAAGTTGTCCATCAACAGTTGGCACCAGGAAGGCAGACTCAGGCAGGCACACAAGTTTCCTGATGAGCTATACTCTATTACTATTTAAGTTAGAACAATAATGTATACATTTGCATATAGACCTTCTTTTTTACCAATGATTAAGTAGCTATCCTAACAGGGACTATTCAGAAAGAAGGGTGGTAAGTGTATCGCCTCAGAAATTCTTGTCTCCCTTCAAGAATCACTCGGTTCAAACTTTCAAAGCCACAAACTCCCATTTTTCAATGAAGTCTAGTGAAAACAGTGTTTGCGCAGTCTAGTGAAAAGTTTGACAAAAGGTTCACATCCCAGTGATGAGACTCTTGCTGGAGGGGGACTGGAAGACAACTACACTGTATTTGATACTCCAAATTAATCTTTTTGTTTTACAGATTCCCTGCATATTGGTAGCCGTGTTTGTTACACAAAATAAGAAAGCAGTAGCAACTGAGACAACCTGAAGAGCTATGTGAAAAATACAACTATTTTGCCCACAAGGCAGGCAGCAGCTTGTGTAGGGAGGGCATGATTTTGACTGGGAAAATACATGGGGAAGTTTTATATAAACACACACACAAAGAGCCATACTGACAAAAAAGACCAGGTGATGTGCTAGCATTTTATGTGGGGAAAATTGCCCTCATCACCTGAAAACCAAATTAGAGGAACCAATCACGAATATTCCAAGCACCATGCTAATATCCCAAATGACAGTTTTCTATTGTGGAAAACTAATTTGACAGATTCTGCACAGATACTCACCAGCTTCTGGATCTGGAGGAATTCTCCACATGTATAAATTGAAGTCATCAGAGCCAGAGAGAATGTACTGTTAAAAATGAAAATACTGATATTACAACAAATTCATTATACACAAGACTCATTTAACTGATTCAACCAGTGTATATCCTCCAGTCCTTTGATCTCATATTGCAGCAGGCTGAGAAAGCAATCCTATCACCCCAACACTTGAGGGTCCAGAATATTCCAGATTCCCAGCTCCAAGGCTGGAGGCAGCACTCCAACCTCAAAGCTCAGATTCAGAAATATGACCCCCTCCCGCTTGCAGCTTGCATCGAAAGAGGCATAACGGCTGCCTCATTGCCGTCAGAAACACAACCTTGGAGAGGGGTAATGCGGCATTCTGGTAGGCAGGGAGGTAAGGACACTGGAGAGTCTAGGAGATGGGTATGCTAACACCTCCTCAATCTCTTTCCTCCTACTCCAGATGAAAGGCTCATCTGGAAGAAAGGCTCATTTGGCAAAAATGCAGGACAAGAGGACAGGGAAGGTGAGATCACTTCCACTATTTCCCTGCCTTGCATAGGATGGTTGTGAGCCTCAAGTTCAGAGTCCAGTAAGCATCAAAGGATACAGCACAGAGGATTGTGTCCTGAATGCTGAAAATATAAATACCAAGTTATTAATGATGAACCGTTCAAGGCAGGGAAGGAAGTTTTGTTTTGTTTTAATTTTAAAAACCAGCTAGTTAAAAAAATGAAAAGCTACAAACCTAGGCACATTGCTTGCAAACCTCACCAAAATTAGTGGAAGTTCTGAATAAATATCCATAAATTTTTTTCCACCCATTTATGTTCCCAACTTTGTGTCTTTTCTACATCAGAAATAGTTTAGCTTTACTTTTCTTGTATGTTATATTTAGAAGTCCACTACAGAGTGTCTCACTGGATTTATGAGGAAGGACTAGATACAGCTCAGGGGCACAGTGCACATTTTACATGTAGAAGAGCTCAAATATAATCCCTAGCTTCTCCAGGTGGAGCAGTAAAGGACTCCTGTATGAAACCATGCAGAGCTGCTACCAGTTAGTGTAGGCAATACTGAACTAAATGAACATGTGATCTGACTCAGCAGGCAACTTCCTATCTTCCTCACATTATACTGCAGTGAAATGTTTGGTGATATAATATTGTTTCTGGAACCAGATTCTTTTTCCTCTTTCAAAAATCATGGCAGCATTTGACCCAGGGTATTTTGCAGTCCAAGGTGACTGTACCATGATTTCTGACAGTTGTCCTTCAGAATCCACACCACATTACTTTAAGCTGCCTAGGAAGGCCTCAGCAGTTATAGGCGGCCTATACATACATATAAATAAATGGATACATAAATTACTCTTTTGGGGCACAATTCTCAGACAGCATGAGATCCAAGAGCTGCACTGAAGCAACACTGCATAATACCCAGGGATGCACTTTAGCAAATTATTCAGTTTTACTGATAGCAATACACATTTTATTGCCTCCAAGGCAGTGCTTGGGTTATCTTTTGCCTTTTGACAGGCCTGCTTAACAATGTTTGCTGAAAAGTTACTCAACCATGTTTTGCTGCTCTGGTTAGCCAGCAAACCAGAGCATCACTTGTAAGGCCTTGCTCTGCCACTTGAAGAATTCCAAGCATCTGTTAAATGTCTGAACACGACAATATTTATTTTCAGCAAACAACCATTTTATTTTGAAGAACTGTAAACTTATTAAGGCACAATCCTATGGCCTCCCAGCATTATCTAGATGCCACAGGCTTTTCTGGAATTTTAGCTCCAAGGTCTTCTGATTGTGGAGCTGGGATTTCCTTGCAATCAGTTCAACAAGATCTATTCCAGGTACAGCTCTGAGGTTGAAAATCAAGCTCAGAGAGGGCTAACAGGGCATGGGGTCTGGGAAGATGGGGGAAGGAGGCTGGGCCAATGGCTTACACTGTATCCATATGGTGCCTCAGCCTTCTCCCCTTTCTCCTGTGACATTTCATCTATACGGCCAGAAACAACTATTTTGCTGAAATACAGAGCCATGAGTGGGGCAGCAGAAATCCCTGCTGCAACACCTTGCACCCTGCAGTGAATGCATGTGAGGTTGCACGTTCAGAGGCTTAGAGGCACTAAGGGCTGATGATACGGGATTGTGTCCTCCCTGACTAATAGAAACAATACTTGTGGGTATGCTGCATTGATTCTACACTTTTCAATTGTTATCTTTCTGCTCTGAGGTCTCTCCCAAAAGTCACTTATTCAATATGCTCAATATAAAGCCTATAAAGCCCTAAAGACCTATAAAGCCCTAAACGGCTTGGGTCCTGGCTACCTGAACGAGCGCTTACGTCCGTATATGCCCGACCGCCCCCTGAGATCTGCGGGAGAGTCCCTTCTCCGGGAACCCTCCATGAAAGAAATTAGGAGAGTAAGTACTCGGAGGAGGGCTTTCTCTGCGGTGGCGCCCAACCTATGGAATTCACTCCCCAAAGAGGTCCGCCTGGCACCGTCGTTACTGGTTTTTCGGTGCCAGGTAAAGACCTTTTTATTTAAACATCATTTTAATTGTTAAAATATATGATCTGGCCAGGGCAACTTCTTCTTCCTTCTCTTTTCTCCTCCTATATTCTTTATTTACTTATTTTATACTGTTAATTTTAATTTTATATTATTATGTTTGTATCTCAGTGTATTTTTTGTATTTTTGTATTTAGTGGTAATTTATTATGTTCTATTGTATTTCAATGTATTTTATTGTGTTGTAAGCCGCCCCGAGGCTTCGGCAAGGGGCGGCATAGAAATGTTATAATAATAATAATAATAATAATAATAATAATAATAATAATAATAATAATATATGAAAGATTATAAAGTCCCCAGTATCTCTCCTTTTAAAAGCTTTCTTTAAATATATATTGCTAGTATGTTTTGTGGGGAAAATTATGCAAACAGTAACAGTTACAGATAAATAATTTGCTAACAGTGCAGAGGCAAGGAAAGATAATTTCTGCCCCAGTTTTAGAATTCAATCTAGGATGACAGTCTAATTAAAAAGAAAAAGGAATAGTAATAGCTTTGGGGATGAGGGCTGGTGGTATCTGAGCTATACAAATGGGAACATGAACAAACAGCTTCCAGGAAGTTGCTTTGAAGAAAGCAGTGCCAGCGGAGTCCCTTCTGACATGTGTTAATAATCTCCAAAACAGGATCTTGCTTTGAAATTTGCTTAGGCTGTAGATGTGAGTGCAGCCTGCACAATTTTCTTATAACTAAAATGGATCTTCCATAAACAAGGACCACAAGTCAGATACTATACTACAGACACTGCACTGGTGCTGAAGTTGATGAATTTAGTTATACCTTTGTTCAACAGTAATAAACCTAAAAAGCTAAACAATAGGGGTCTAGCATGCTAACTTTCTTTAATAACCTCCAAGATAAGAAGTAACTCCCACATTTATATATGTTGCCATTAAAACAGGTCAAAACATGCAAACCCTAAAACTCACTTCTAGTGCAAAATGAATGCAGGCAAGTGAGACAAATACTCTGCAAGCAAAGTGTTTCAAACATGACTGCTTCTTAATGTTTGAGATGCTAAAAAAATGAACCATAAGTTCTGAAGGGAAGTAGCACTTTTGTCTCAGGTATGGTAAGCCCCCCTTTGCGGCAATATTAACAGAGATCAGAAACATATCACTGTTTTTGTAAGACAATACTATGAAGAAAGTAGCTAGTGGAAAAATTGTGCTGTACCTCTCCAAAACTGAAGGTATGGGAGGTCAGAATCAGACAGAAAGCAAGTTTGCATGAGGATTTGGCCTAAAGCCACATTAATACTGCTTTCAGTGCTGACAAACTCTCCATAATTTCCTGCTGTCAATAGCATCTCCAGACATTAAAGTTGTGTGTTCAAACACAAGATAACAGTTTTTTAAAAACATACTAAGTTGTACTATGAGCAAAGATGTTAGGTCATCAACCTCCATCTGTGACTAGCTGAGAACAACTAAGAGGGGAGGGGAGAGGAAGAAAGGAAAGGCTTCCAACATGACAAGCTGCTGATTCAGAAGTTCGCCTTAGAAGGAAGAAAATTCCCAGGCGTGGTTAATAGCTGCTGCATGAAGCATCAATCCCAGAACTCTAAACATGCCTCAGATGTTTAGAATGAGCCATCCTCAGGCTGCTGCCTGTGATGCTTCTTGACACATTCTTCTTTGTTGTTTGTTCCTCCTGTCTCTGCCCCAAAAGGGGCATATGATAGGCAGCTTATGGAAGCTGCAATATGATCAGCTGTGGTTACTGTGGTATTCTAGCAGAATGTTTTGCTCATTCTGGAATTCCACCACCATCAGGAACTAGTGCTTTTTAACTTTGTCTGCTAGAAAATTCTCAGCATCTTGCAGTTTTTATACATTCCCTAGGTTTTGCTAAATGCAAAGTATTAAAAAGAAAAAGTAATACCAGCCTGCTTTTCCTGGCTTCCATTCCCTTGGTTCTTTTTGGGTAAAGGTGGTTCACATTTTATTGTTACATTTTATAATTACATTTAGACCCTACCTATCTTCCTCTTGAATGGAACAGTGACTGGCCCAAATTCATAGCCTGGTGGGAACTAGAACTGTATCTTCCGAGTCCCATTCCAACATTCTAATCTCTATATCATACTGACCCTCTTCAAGACTGATAGATACTCTTAAAATTAATTTTAAGGTGCACCTCCATGGCCAAGCTCCTTTTAAGATTAAGGGAAACATGTGAAATACAACAAGGTTTTAAAAGATACTTACAAAAGCTAGTTACAAATTCAATAGAAATTCCAAAACAGAAACTTTTTTGGAAAGTTCTCAAATAACTATTTTATTTTTCATAAAGCAATTAAACAATCAATGTCTACAAGCATTATGTTCATAATCAACATGCACATACCATTTTAAATTCTCAGAATAATAAAAGCAAATATAAAAATACTTTTAAGAAACAAAAACTGAGACAATGATTCACCACTAAGGCTGTAGCTCAGTGGCAGAGCTCCTGTTTGGCCCTCAGAAGGTCTCAGA